GGCACACTCCTGACACGTTTCGTGGCCCCGTAGGGAACCCCAACGAAGGCCCACATGCCAGGGTCCGCATGCCGTCGCCGCCTCATTTCGGCACACCCCTCACACACTTCGTGGCCCCACAGGGAGCTCCAACTGAGGCTCAAATGCCAAGGTTATCGCCGCCTCATTTCAGCACACCCCTCACACGCTTCATGCTCCCGCAGGGAGCTCCAGCTGAGGCCCACATGCCAGGGTCCGCATTGCGTCGAAGCTGCATTTCTGCATACCCCTCACACGTGTCGTGCCCCATAAGGAGATCCACCAAAGGCGATAAACATAATGACGGTACGCACAATTGCATAAGGTCGGGTCTTTCCCCAGGATAATGTTCAAGAGGATGGAGCGTAGAGAAGACAGAGCGAACGTGCTGATATTGATGAGTACGGCGTTGTCGATGGTCAGAGCGACCGTGGCAGCTGGAATAAGGTGAGCGCGAGGGATGGAAGGCTAAGGGGCCGTGCGCACGTGTTGATCACCCGATGGAGGGTACTGTATGATGAGGAGTACGCCTACGTGGGACGGCCCCCTGCCTGGATCGGAAAGACGCGACAATGAGCCTCCTCTGGCTGAAATGTTGGTGTGAGAGCCGAGACGCGTGGGCCACGCACAGTGAAACGACAAGCTAGAATTGGAAACAAACGGGTCGGCAGCGTGCAAGCCCCAGAACCGAGGATATGGAGACGACCGAAATAAGTCAAAAGTCCCGGAACCACGAACACCAGAACGGCCAAACCAAAAGACGCCCTGCAATCAGAAGCAACGGTGCAGGCCAGGGACCGTCGAACCAAGCAAATTCCCAGCACCCACACCGTCGGACGAAGCGTATTCCTGGACGGACACTCGAACCAAATAAACTCCTGAAGTCACAGTGCGAGTGCCAGAATTGACCATCGAACCAAGCCAGGTGCAGGCGCTAAATGCTGGTAGGGAACCGTGACAAAACAAAAAAAAAATGGCGAAGGACCCAACCATATGCAGTTGTGAGTATCGCAATTGTGAGTATCTTCTTCGGTGGCGCTCCCTATGGGGCCACGAACCGCATGAGGGTGTGCCGAAATGTGGCGGGGTACACAACGCAAAGGAATACGATAGATCTGATTACGAGAGAAAGAACGCGGGTGAGTCAGAGCGCGAGGGAATCTGAGTATGAATGGGTCTGCGCGCGAGTGAATATATTTGCATGAGTGCGATCGTGGAAACGCCTAGTGTAAGTGTATATGAATGTGAATGGTTCGAGCATTCCTGTCCGAACACAAGTGACACTGGGCGTGGCCGCCGCAGGCAGCTTCCGCGGGAACCCAGACGGCAGCGTCCGCACGTCGCGACGCCCATGTCGGCACGCCTCTTGCGAGGATCGCGCCCGCTTTCGGCTCTTCTTTTCATTCCTCTTTGCCCGCGCACTCCAAAATCCAAGGCTGCGGGCGCAGCGCAGCGCGGAGTCCCCGCGACGCGCGCTGGTCGCCCCGGGCGGGGTCCCAGCGACGCGCGCGGGTCGTCCGCTGCGCGAAGCAGAGAGAGCTGACTAGCTAACTGGCTGGCTGATAGCGGGCAAGTCTCTGACCGCTGGGCAGAGCGACGACGGGCGAACGAGGCGCCGGGCCCCCCGCAGCACGGAGTTCCCGCGACGCGCGCTGGTCGCCCCGAGAGGGTCCCAGCGACGCGCGCGGGTCGTCCGCGGCGCGAGGCCAAACAATTAGTCGGGCAGTCGAGAGAAGGCGCGGCTCGGGGGAGACGCTCCTCAGGTCAGGCCTCGCGGATGAACTCGGTGAAGCCGAGCTCCCTGGCGAGGGCCGTCGCTTCCCTCCTGCACCGCTTCGTGCGCGCCGCAAACTGCTCCAGCTGCTTCCGCAAGCCCTGCGGCGGCCCTGCCAGGAAGAACTCGATGCGCGGCGCCCGCATGAGCAGGCGGTCCTCGTGGCGCGTGACGCATGCGGGCGGCAGCACTGAGGCCTTCGGTGGAGCTCCCTATGGGGCCATGAAGCGTGTGAGGGGTGTGCCGAATTGGGTGTGCGTGACGCATGCGGGCGGCAGCGCTGGGGCCTTCGGTGGAGCTCCCTATGGGGCCACGAAACGTGTGAGGGGTGTGCCGAATTAGGTGTGCGTGACGCATGCGGGCGGCAGCACTGGGGCCTTCGGTGGAGCTCCCTATGGGGCCACGAAACGTGTGAGGGTGTGCCGAATTGGGTGTGCGTGACGCACACGAGGGCGGCAGCACTGAGGCCTTCGGTGGAGTCCCTATGGGCCCACGAAACGTGTGAGGGGTGTGCCGAATTGGGTTGTGGGGGGACGCATGCGGGCGGCAGCACTGGGGCCTCGGTGGAGCCCTATGGGGCCATGAAACGTGTGAGGGGTGTGCCGAATTGAGTGTGGTGACGCATGCGGGCGGCAGCACTGGGGCCTTCGGTGGAGCTCCCTATGGGGCCACGAAACGTGTGAGGGGTGTGCCGAAATGGGTGTGCGGGACGCATGCGGGCAACCCACTGGGGCCTTCGGTGGAGCTCCCTATGGGGCCACGAAACGTGTGAGGGGTGTGCCGAAATGGGTGTGCGGGACGCATGCGGGCGGCAGCACTGGGGCCTTCGGTGGAGCTCCCTATGGGGCCACGAAACGTGTGAGGGGTGTGCTGAATTGGGTTGGGGACGCATGCGGGCGGCAGCACGGGGCCTTCGGTGGAGCTCCCTATGGGGCCACGAAACGTGTGAGGGGTGTGCCGAATTGGGTGGGGTGGGGACGCATGCGGGCGGCAGCACTGGGGCCTTCGGTGGAGCTCCCTATGGGGCCACGAAACGTGTGAGGCGTGCGCCGAATTGTGTGATGACGATGACGATGACGATGACGATGACGATGACGATGATGATGATGATGATGATGATGATGATGATGATGATGATGATGATGATGATGATGATGATGATGATGATGGTGGTGGTGGTGGTGGTGGTGGTGGTGGTGATGACGTCGATGATGTCGATGATGATCATGGTGATGGCATGGCGGTGACGATGATGGTGATGATGATGATGACGACGATGATGATGATGATGATGATGATGATGATGGAAGGGGGGAGGAGGCAGCGGGAGGAAGGAAGGAAGGAAGGAAGGAAGGAGAACGCGGGGCACCGTCTCTTCAAAACAAGGACCCAACACCACAGGATGGTTGGGAAAAAGTGTGAGAGATCAGGCCGTCGGTGTCAACAACCTACCTTGCCGCATGCGTGACGACCTCCAACAAGGATCGCTCGCGGGCGCGCTGCCTCAACAGAAACACATTGCCACAGGCCTTGCTCTGTCTGTACAGCCTTTGCTTGTGGCGCGGCGCCCCTCCCGACCTGCATGTTACAGCGAAGTTGTTGGTGGCAAGCCTAATATTGGGACAGTGAGGTGTGACATTCGGCGGTCCTAGCTGGTGCCCTAACGGGTCGGCAGAACTGCCTGCGAGAGTTTGGTGCCCCCCTTCATCCTGGCCCGGTCTCAGAGAACCATCATGCCCGCAGCCGCCGGCACTGTGCACGATTTCGAGGAGCCCAGGCGCCGAAGCCCCGAGAACGCGACCCAACGGAAGTCTCGCGTAAACGCGTTGACCTTTCAGCACGACTGCGGCGAAAAACAACTCGCTCACACAGAATGACCGCTATCACAACCTGAATGGTCATCATCGTCATCGCCTCCGTCATCATCACAGTCGTTACCATCATCGTCACAGCCACAAACGCGATCATCAGCGTTGACACTGTTTCCCCCCAATACCCCTCCTGTTCCCCCTCATGCCCCTCCCCCCGCCGCCAGAAGGAAAAGGGGGAGGAGGGAACGGGGAAGGACGGGGAGGAAAAGGAGGAGGAGGAGGAGAAGGAGTGGGAGAAGGACGGAGAATGAGGAGGAAGAGAAAAAGGCGGAGGAGGATGAGAAGGAAGAGGAAAACAGGGGCGAGAAGGCGAAGGGCGAAAGGTGGGGAAAAGGGCGGGGAACAGGAGGAGGAGGAGGAGCAGCAGCAGCAGCAGCAGGACATGGAGGAATCGTAAGAGAAGGAAGAGGCGGAGGAACTCGAGGGGAAGAGGGAGGAAGAGGAGGAAAACGAGAATGAGGGCGACAAGTAGGGACAAGGCCAAGGCGAGGAGAAGGGCGAAGGCGAGGAAAATAATAGGGAAGAGAAGGATAATGGAAGGGAGGAGAAGGAGGATAAAAGGGAGGGAGGTGAGAGGAGGAGAAGCAGGAGGAGGAGAAGAAGGAAACTGATGATGAAGAGGAAGAAAAAAGGAGGACAAAGAGGACTGACTGACTATGACTTGGATCCAACGTGTCGTCAACTGCCTCTGACACTACCTCTTGCAGTGTGGAATAAAAACTTGCAGCATCAATCTGGATCTGTCGGGGCAAGCCCCCTCGCTACGCACAAGTGCGCGGGTGCCATGTAGCACTCTGGCACTGCACGCACCCTACTCCTGCGCTGGCAGGCTAGGGGCATGCGTGCACTCGGATATATGTAATCATATGCAGCTGTCTTGCCTTTGCACGTTTAGCAGCGAGCACTTTAACGTGCTCCTCTCAAGCACTGGCGGAAAAACGGCGGTTGCATTTGAGAGGCGTTTTAATCCTCACTTACAGCCGCGTGCTCCGGAACACCCGTTTCCGGAGCACGTTGGAATATCTATGCCGCTGTCTTGCCTTTGCCGCGCCTGCCTCGGCCTCGACTCTTACCTTTGTCCTGCCGAACAGGCAGGGGGCGAGGAGTGAGAAGAGTGGGGTCAACTGAGGATTGCAAAACTGGCGCTGGCTGACTAGGAGCAGGAGCGGCACTCAGGAAGCCCGCGGTCTCCAGAGCTCGGTAGCGCTGACTGTTGCGAAACGCGGGCGGCGCCGAGCGCGGAGCCCCTCGGCTCCGGCTGCTCTGGCTCAAGTCTGGCGTCACGAGTCGGGCTCGCGTCTGAACCGGTGGAACTGGTTCTCCCACGAGCTCCAGTATCACTTCGTCGTGTGGACGAGGCGGTTCAGCTCGCGCTGGAGTGGCCCCCGCGGTGCTGCGCCCAGCTTCCGCTGGCCTCCCTCTTCCTTGATCTCGGCGATGATGATGTCCCGAATCAGCTTCATGTTGCGCCCGTGCAAGTCGAAGGAAAAGATTAGCCGCACTTTCTCCTTCTTGTTGGGGGCCTTGTTCTTCTTCGCCTGGAAGTGGGCGATGCCGGTGCCCAGCGGCTCCGACCCCTCCGCACAGACCACCGTGCGCTAGAACTCCTCGAGCACCTTCTTGGCTTCCGGGTCCACCAGGGTCGCCAGCCCTTTGATCGTCGCCGCTGCGATCACCAGGCGCGGCGGGCCGAGGGCCGCCGTGTCGGTCTGGCTGTCCATCATGCGTTGCTCCTTCAGCTCCTTGGCGTCGGCGTCGCATTGCTGGCCCGCTTGAATGGCGAACGTGGGGAGCGGCTTGGCTGCGTCCATCTCCCAGGCCTCGTGCACTGCGGCCTGCAGGTCCTGTACGTCTTTGGCGACTACGAGCGCCAGCTTGGCCGAGGTGACCGCGGTCTGCTCCACCCTGTCCCAGTCCTTGCCCTTGCCCGCGCCCTTGCTCTTGAACTGCTTGTTGGGGTCGTTCTGGTCCGTCGCCGCCGCGAGCCCCCTCTTGCCCGCCCACGCTGGTCCAGTGGCGAAAGCGTCCACCATGGCTGCGCCCCCTGCTGCGCCTGATGCCGCCGCCGCCGCCGCTTCGCCTGGCATCTTGTCGTGGGGCGCCGGCTGGGCGCGAGGCGGCCGCGGTCGGGGCCGAGGTCGGTCGGCGCGCTGGAGTCGGAGGCTGCAGAATTGCTCGGGGAAAATGGCTGCGGACGTGGGCAAAGAACTGTTGTTTGTCGTTGTCCGCATACCCGCATATTCTGCATCTCTGGTCAAAGTCCTCCGCTGGTTTCATCGTTCTGCTTCTGTCCGAGGGGCATTGTCCACGCAGAAAGGCCGTCATGAGATGCCTGCCCGCTGTGCTCCGTTCCCCGAAGATCGCACCGCAATTTACACACTCATTGTTTATGGTCAGGAGGAAGGCGAGGTTGCTGAGCTTGTGCTTGCTTCGCATATGTGATATTAATGCTTTACGCGATCCAAAGCACATCCCGCATACCATACCTTCACACTGTGATCCTGGGAGAGTCGGCGCAGGCACAGGCATGTTTGGCAGCGTCGGCGCAGCAACATCGTCCATGAGCTCGCATCTCCACGGCGCAATCTCTGACAGGACCGTCTCCTCCTCCGCTACGTCTGCTGCTGCTATACTAGAGCTAAGGCCTGGGGGTGGGATGGTGCGGGCTCGGTAGGCCTGGCGGAGCTCCTTGGGGTCCAGAACACGAAGGGCCTCCTGGAAATCAGACTCAAAGAAGTTGCCTGGTTCTATATCGAGGTCTCCAATATTACTCGCAAAGCTGTCAGTGCGGCAGGCCTCCTCTAGGTCTTTAACGATTCGCTTAGCCCATTCGTTACGCAGTGGGCGAAGCGCACCATCATCACAGACCGTCGGTTCTGTCTCCAGTTCCAGCTGTCCGAAGATAGCCGTCAGTAGCTGCTGATGCCGCGTAGGTTCAAACAGTACTTTACGAATCCATGAGAGACGTCTGACAGTGGCCTCCATCTGCAGTGGGAGAATACGCCAGTGCCTGAGAACCTCGTAACTGGTTAGACTTCGAGTCGATCCGTCCTCCAAGTGCCTTGTAGCCTGTCCCCTCATAGCTTTCCGGGCCAAACCTGCCACCGTCATAGTAAGTGTTCTGTACTCTGACTTCGTCGGGCAGTAGCTCTCTATGCGACTGAGACCTGCGTTCGCAACTTTGCATATGAGGACCGAACATTTCCATGTATATGGGATCCCCGCTTTGAACCAAAATCCCCCCTATCTCCTTGGAAGCCCTGATCATCGCATGCACACGTTGTTTCAGTTCCGCTCCGAATGTGTTGGCCGTGTTTAGATGTGGTCCCAGATATCGTGCCGACTGTGCCGTGCGCCCCGGGAGTGCATGCTGCTTGCTCCTAAGCTGCCTGTACTGCGCAACCGATCCTGCCCCTGCATCCTGATCATGCTCTCCTGTTTGTCCCGATTTTGATGCAGGCCAAACCTGATCAACCTAGCGTCTAGCATCTCGTCTGCCTGGCGCGCTTGTCGCGCTAAATCCGCCGCGGGATGCTGCGCTATGCTGAGCAATATATTCTGGAGGTCGTCTGCATACTTGAACAGGCCAAGGTATTGCGGCTTCTCAAAGAAAGGGCAATGTGCCTGCAATGCCTGATCGCACGGGAGAGACGCAAGGCAGTCCTGCTTCCACTGCTCTACGGGGTGGGGGAACATAGCCACAAAGTTGTAGACCATATATGGATCCCCTATGAGCCCGCCGCACCCCGGTCGCATCAGCAGAGGGTCCTGCCGGTCACGGCACGGGACCGAGAAAGCGCAACTCCTGCACCTCTGTTCCCCCAGCTCCCACGCGCCCTGAGTATGTAATTCCTGGGCCGCCGCGCCCATACTTAGCCAGTCGCCGCTGGCGAAAGCATTAGACATATCTTTGAGTACCACAGCATAGGATACCCCGGCTCTGGACAATCGATCCTGTGTAATCATGCTAGCCATAACTGCTCCCTCCCGTCGTCGCCCCTTCACAAACCCGTAGTCCTCGCCCCTCCAAGGTTGAGACCCTCCCCGTTCCAATTGTGCAGCGTAATAACATTTCCCAAGCGGATCCAGAACGTGGTAGATCCTTTTTCCCCTGGGCCCCGTCTTGTTGTTTTTTCGTATTGCTGTAGCCTCGCTAATGTGCCAGTCTGCCGGGGCCCGTTTGGTGATGCGGATCTGCCGGAAGGCCTGCTCAAGTTCGCTCCTGAAGCTCTTGGGGAAGATGCGGGGCCTCTCGATGCCTATGCCTCCTCTGCCTTGGACCTCGGGGGGTTTGGTAAGCATCATCCTCTAGGCTTCTGCAGGAGCCGTGTCTACTGGGTGGGCCCTGCGGAGTCCTGTCCTATAGAGCCTGCGAGCGACTTTCTCCATGTCCTGCTGGGCGAGGTCGATCGCATCATTCAGTGTCGCAAGATCGGGGGGGCGGGCTCGGTGGCGGGACTCCTCTCTCAGCTCCTCTCTGGTCGTCGTCCTGGCCCCCATCCCTCCTTGTCCTCCTGGGAGCCTCCAGAAGTCCTCCCACTCCTGTCGAGTCGGCATGCTGGTGACCACGCTGCGATAGTTCCTGCGCCGTCGTCCCAGCTGCGTGCCTGCCAGAAGCCTACTCAGTCTGCCCACCTCCGCCAAATCCCTCCTGCTCCATGCCTCCCACAGCTCCTCCACCCTCTCCGCTCCTATATGTTGCCGAGCCTCTCTCCTCATACGCGCGCGCTTCACCGTCAGGGCTTTAAGGCGAGACTGTGTGTTCATCATTTGCTGCTCCGTCCCCTCGCCCTGTTGCTCCCTGATGTCCCGTCGTTTCGCAAGCACATCCAATCGCTCCTGCTGGAGTCGTCGGTAAATGTCGGTTCTGCCGGACCCGCTGCTGAAGTGTTTAGCCGCCACACGGTGCACAATTTCCGTAAGCGCTCCGACTGTCGCCGTGCTGTCGCCTCCAGCCCTAATCTCACTCAGCTCCTCCTCTCTCCTCGTGACCTCCTCCTCCACCTCCGCGACGAATGCTGCTCTGCCCACGTTTCTCCTGACACCCGCTACTAAAGCTTGCCGGTCCCATCTGACTCGTCCTTGTGGTTTATGCCCATATACTCTCATCATAGATATAATAGCATGTGCAGGGGCGTGGTCTCGTAGTTCGCGGCGGGGCATGACCTGCAGTCGCCGGCCCATGCGGCGCAGTGGTCCCACTGTCTGAACAAGCGGACGCCACTCCTGCGGCAACAAAAGATCGTCGATCTGGGACCTATGTTTTTCAGCGAAGTAGGTCGGCCGCCAGTGGTCGTGAGTGCTAGCCGCATACAAATGATGACGCTCTGCAATCCCACGAAGGCGTTGCCCCGCCCCCCCCCTGGGAGGCGCTCGGGGGCACCCCCAGGTCCGACCGCCCAGCTGTGGATTGGTTCCCCCTCATGGTTTTGTCCCATACCATCGTTGACGTCGCCACCAATGATAACCGCCGTACTTGGGCCCGCCTGAGCCGCCTGTTGGTCGATCCAATCCGAGAGGGTCTTGGCAACGCGTAGATGCTGCCGTCGTTCGGCCGCGGTTCGAGGCTGAGGCGGGTAATATACAACATATGTGCTCCACACGCTGTCCACCTAGTTGTAGTGTAGCTGAAATACCCCTACCATGTAATATGTCAGGTGGTGCCGCTGTGTCCAGAAGTAGTGCGTGCTGCCATTTCCCCCTCCAGATAATCATGCATCCCGCCGTTTTGTTGCTGTGCGCCGCTCCCTCCCTCCACCCGCTCTCCACATACCTGCGCCTGCACCCCCCCCCCCCCCCCTCGTGTAGTGATGTAGCCCATCTGCTCCGTTTCACCTGAGGGTCGGCGTCGGGTCGCCCCTGCAAGGCCGATGAGGTCGAAGTTGTGACATTCCTCTCCTATTTCGAATAACCTGTCGGCGGCGCAGTGCATCGGGCTGTAAAACAAAACTGCAAGAGAAGCCATCCGAGCCGCACTCGTGAGGTGTAAGCGCGGGCTGATCGACATGTGACAAGGGAAGGAGTGAATGGTTTCCCTGAGGTGCGCTGGCCACCCGATCACCGCTTGACCTCGCGGTGGCTAGGACAAAGAGGAGGGGGGGGAGGGCGCGGGTCGGAGGAAAAAGAGGGGGAGAGGGAGGAGGAGGAAGAGGAGGAGGAGGAGGAAAAGGACGCCATGGGGGAGAAGGAAGGGGAAGAGGAGGAGGAGGAGCAGGAGGAAGAGGAAGAGGAAAGCGGGAGGAGAAGGACAAGGAGGAGGAGAAGGAAAAGGAAAAGGATGTGCAGGGGGAGGAGGAAGAGGAAGAGGAATAGGAGGAGGAGGAGGAGGAGGGGGAGGATGAGGAGAAGGAGGAGGAGGAGGAGGAGGAAGAGAGGAGGGCGAGGGCGAGGGCGAAGAGCAGGGCGAAGGGGGGGATGAGGAGGGGGAGGAGGAGCTGGAACTGGTGAAAACGCGAAGCGTTACAATGAATTAAGCAGGCTCGCGGCCTCTGGCGATCCGCTCCCTCTTAGAGAGGACTTTGGGCCAGAGGCCAGTACTGATCCTGGACAGGCATTGCTCGGCGGTGTCCGTGGGGCGCCCCTGGCAAGGCTCGCGGAGAGACCTGAGCTGAGCACTCGCTATATACCCACAAACACCACAGTACCACAGAGTCGAATCCGCGCGGTAAAAAAAAGCGTGTGAGACTCGTGCATCCACCCCCCAGCACAATGAATATGTTTTTGGGCAGGCACCTTCATATGAGTTCCGTCGACGGGCTCCAAGTTAAAACACGGGGTCCGCAACCAGTCAACGAGAGCTTTCTGAGAGGCCGATCCTTTACAAACCTTGCGCTGGCGCCCGCTGTCATCCAAGACATGGGCAGAACAAAATTGGGCGACGACCTTGGGGGCAGGCGGTGGGCGATGATGCCTTTTTTTGCCGTTCACTCAACTGCCGAGGGTCGGCAGCAATTGCAGCCATGTGTGCTCGCAGAAGCCGTTGCCGCTCCAGCGTGGCCCTGTGCTCGACCATGGCGATGCGCGTGCGGACCTCCTGCGAGAGCCTGTGCGCCTTCGCCACTTCACCTGCTGCTTGGTCTGCTCGACGGTTGCCCACGATCATCCACTCTGGGATGTGCTGCTCACTCGCTTCCTCACCGGGTAGATGTGAATTGATGAACAGAACCACAATGTGCGCAGTTCTGTTGGTGTCATGCAGATGTTGACCAATCTTGGCCCAGATGTCGACGCCGCTCTCTGCTGCGCGTGGTCGAAGGAACCCCTTAGCCTCCCAACCGTCCGCTACAGCTTTGTTGTCGGTGATGTAGATCATCCAGCCTCTGGTCACGCAAATAGCCGCCTCTAGGGCAGCCAATTCGCCGCGATGCACTGTCTGCCGTCGCCCTGGTAACGCCATCTTGCCAGTGGCTCCAGCTTGGAAAGGATGCTTGCTGACAACTGAGACTAGAGCCACTCCTACCCGTCGCTGAGTCGGATCCATGGTGTCGGGGCCTCCACAAGCATCGCCGCAGATGAGGATCGGCTCCGTCTGCGTGCCTGTGCCAAGAGCTCCGGCTTCGAACGCTGCATTGTCGTCGAAGTGCCACCTCTCAGCCTTGACTGGTGGAAGTGTCGCCGTCCATGCCCGAGGGGCCAACCCTCTGAGCCAAAAGGCGGGGCACTGCTCATGCTGGGCAACTGCCTCTGGGAGGAGGCAGTCTGAGTCCTGGAATGCGTGCTTGTCCTTCTCGTGGGGACAAGTCCAGCATCTATGAAAGGGGAGTCTCAACATGCATGACCCCTTCTGCGTAACACCGCGGGCACATACGTAGGTGATCCTCTCCCTCCTGAACTTCTGCCATAAGCCGCTCCCTCGGCCAGGTGCCTCCAACCGCGATAGCCAGCATGAGCTCCTTGACGGCGTGGCCGTTGGGTGCATCTGCTAGCGTCTGGATGTAATGTCGATATGAATAATTGCCGATGCCATCTGCAACTCCTTCACTGCAGTAGTGTTCTGCAGCTTGCCGCCAGAGATGTCGGGATATCGACGTCGTGAAATCGTCGAGGAGATCCGCGAGATCCTCGTGGAATGTGAGGTTCTGGCCAGGGAAAATCCATTCAATCTCCGCACTGTTGCACCCGTCACTTGGAAGATGCCATCGCGAAGGTGAGATGGGATCCCAGCCATATTGTAAAAGAAGAACATTGATTGCACTCATGGGCCCTCGGATGTGCCTGGACCTCTGCGCGATGGCAATGGCCCGCATCTGAGACACTATCGTGGGCCACGCTGCGTGCACTGAGCTCCTGATGTTGCTGTCTGTCGTCCACATCTGGAGCCATTCCGCCATGCACTCGCGACCGAGCTTGACAGCAGGGTCTTGGCCAGGCACTCGGATGTCCAGCGTAGTAGTCGTGCACCGCCCTCTCTTGCTGGCGCCGCGCACAACTGCCAATCTGCTCCTGAGACGGTGGAGGCCACTGCCGAACATGCCGAATACTTGATGTCCGTAGTGCGCTACAGTCTGTGCACTCACGCGTTCAAGCCGAGCTGTGACCGTGTACTGTGAGCTCGCTTTGGCCCACTTGACTATTTTGACGTGTCTCTTGCTGGCTTTGACCACTCTCTGTCTTTGAGTAGCCCGTCAGCGCCGCTTGCCTGCTGATAAGTCGATGCCGATGTATGGTGCCTGAAGTACAGGCTGCAGCTGGTGCCCTCGCCGTCGCAAGGCTGAACTGATGGCCTTGGCTAGGCGGTGGCTGGAAGCAAGCGGCGCACTCTTGTCGGCGACAGCAAGGCGAGCTTGAGCCAAACATTCGGACGTATCTGAGATTGCCGCAATCATGGCGCGGAAGACTTGCCTCTCGGAGCCGAACGTGGACTCGCTGAGGTCGTCCACCCAAATACGAGTGCGCACGAGAGGATTTGCAACAATCAGCTTTTGAAGGACGAAGTGTGTACAACATTTCCCAAATCTAGTGCCGTTGCGGAGCCCCTGTACCATTGATTGCGCCACTTGAAATGCACGGGGCGCCGAACTGAGCTGTGCCAGTGTCCTTGCAGCTGTGCATGGGGACATGGCGGTCTCCACTAGGCCGTCTCAGCGCACCGTGTCGTAGAAAGATTTGATGTCCATGATGACATGTTCGTAATTTACTTTGAGATATCCATATACTTCTTCGTGCAGCGTCTTCAGGAAAGCTTCTCTCAAGGCGGAGTTGCCCGCTAGAGCCGCGTCCCAATGTGCCGCCTCCTCGGCGGCCCATGGTTTGACGTGGCTCTCTCTGGTCAACGACCATATGCGGAACGTCACGCATAGCAAGCCCATCACCCTGTTGCCCGCGTTCTTCTTTTTTTTTTGGGGGGGGGGCTCCCCATAGTTAGCAGCAGCTGCCGCGGCCACGTAAGCCCAAGCTCGATAGAATTAAGAAGATCAACGAACTCTTGCCGCCCACCAACTGGCAGGCGCTGGATATCCAGGGCCGTCGAGCCATCAGCCCCCAGCCCAGCCTTCGGCCTCGTGCGCCCAAGGGCTTGGTCCAACTCCTCCAACGTGATTTCTGGCAAACGCTCGACCTCAACTGCTTCTCTAACTCGCCTGAACAACTCTGCCGTCTTGCTGCGATCCACAGGTGTGGGCGACCAAAGTTGCCGAACATGCTGCGTTTTGTGATCGACGACGTCAACTGGATGGTACAAGGTGTTTTGCCCAGCAATGGTAACCCCAGTGCTCGGCTCAGGTGAGTCCTTGAGACTCTCGAACAAACAGTTGCCGCCTTCGCTGGTGTTGACCCACTCGCGAAACTCTCGCAGAGATTGTGAAAATGCCCGTCCTTTGGCTCTCTTGGAAACGCGAGCCGCAGAATCTACCAGCCATTGAAGTATTGGAATTGTCGCTTTGGAAATGCAAGCTAAGCCGTGCTGCCAAGTTTCCCATCCAGGGTCTTGCTCGCGTAAGACTGTGTGTGCGCCCTCGGGGAAATCGGCACTCAGGCGCCAGCGTGCATGCGAAGGATCCATCTGCTGTTTGGTTCCATTCCCTTTGATGCGATGTTTGCGAAACTGATCCAGAACTGTGCGTACCTGTTGCCATCGCGATGTGATGCGACCCCCCAACGGTGATGTCCTCGCCCTGGTTGGCTGGTGTACTTCTTTGAGTCGAAGGTTAGGCCCGTCAGCGCGCCCGCGTGTTGGCAAGGCTTCTGAGCCACTGAGGTGATCCTGAATAGCGCGTTCTACTGCTGTGACCCAGACTGCGTAGTGTGCGGAAGCTGCCTGAATGAAAGGGCCACCTGCCGAAAAGGCTACGGATTGACGGATGGGTTGCCACACCTCGCGCCGCGTGTGCCCATAGGCTTCAACCTTCTGTCTATGCATTTCCCAAGTTTCGCTGGGGATGTGAAACTCTGGGGCGCGCCCCTTGCCAGCCACGTCTTCGGGGTTGGTGCTTAAACTCTGCCCTTGTGCTGTGGGTGGGGGGGGGGGGCATTGTCCTGCGCGCTCGGCCCCGGGCGGAGGTCTGGGCCCGACGCACCTTCAGCGGGAGGGGGGGAGGACGAAGGAGGAGTGACGACGACTTCGGGGCAAGTTGAAACTCGAGGATTGAAACAAGTTTCCTCGGCCCACGGGTCATCTTCGTCATCCTCGGGATATTGAAGTTCGCCGGGCACAGGCTCAAATTCTCCGACATGGGGTTCGGGAGCAGAAGCCGCCGCTGGCGCCGACTCTTGGGTGTCAGACGGGCTTGCTTCAAAGAAAAAGGCTTCGACTAACTGAATCCTACGCTGCTGATACTCCCTTTTAACAGTCTGGGCCCTAGCTCTGGCTCGGGAGGCCTTGGAGCCTGGAGTGGGGAGAGACCCAGGGCGAGACGCTTGCGGGAGCCTAGCAGGGACCTCCAGTGCCCTACACAACAGCTGCTTGCCTGAGGCTCTAAGGGTGAGCTTGAGGCCTACATGCGTCTTCCAGGGCACTTGGGGCACGGACTCGAGAGCAACGATGCACGGCAAAGAACTTTCACTCGCAACAATGTAGTCAATGAGTGAACCATATGTACTGGCGCTGCAACTGGTGATGATCGATCCTGCGATGACGGCACCACCTACTCTGCGAATGAAATCTGACTGTGCGATCCGCTGCGCAGGCACGTTGAAGTCTCCCACGATGAGCCATGGAAGACGGAGCGAATTTACCCAGGCTCCAAGACGAAGATACCTGTTAAGATTGGGGCCTGACAGGCCTACGCCTGAGAAAACGTAAAATACAATGATCAGTATACTGAATCCTTGAAAATGAGCTAGCGACGCGACGAAGCCATCACAAGCCCGATGAGGCTTGGCCAGCAACCCTGCACGCTGTGCCCCAGCGAGCGGGCGCACGGCCCGCTGCCCAGCTGTGAGCAGCCATTCGCCGCCCTCGTTGGCATGATGCGTGTTGAGACGAATCTGCCTCTGCATTTCCCGTCGGCCTGGCAACGTTGGCGATGAGCTTCATACCCTGCTCACGAGCTTCGCCCTTCCACTTCGAAAGAGTGTCATTGCCCACGTGAGTCTCTGCAAAGGCCCAAAATTGATGCGCCTGTTTATTGTCCACTAGATATTGCCAAGCAGTGTCGCCCATGACAGTGACGTTGGCGAAAAAAACGAGCATGTGCCTCCGTCACCTTGGCTGCCCCGCGCCAGCGCCTCCGCATCCACGGTGGAGACTGAGGTAGCTGGCGTCGCTGCCGATGCGGACGAAGATGATGCGGCCGTAGGTCCTGGACCCCTCGAACAGGTACCCCACGCAACCGAAGGAGTGACTGACTGACTTGACGTAGCGAAACTGCTGGATGGAGCTGGGATGAGCTCGTCCAGGACTAGGGTGACTGGGACACTAAACGCAGCGTCGACGCTGAACCCCTCACGAGGTGTGAGACTGCCATCAGCGACTGCATCTGCCTCAGACCTCTGCCACATATATCACTTCTGCTGTGCTCCTGCGGGGTCGGCAGTAGCGCCTGCTGCACCGCAGGCTGTCGTCCCCGCCAGAGGCGTCGTGTCCTCGCGCTTCGCCTGCATCTCTGCGAACTTCTTCTGAGACAAAGCTTCAGCCGCTGCTTTGAGCTCGGGCTCCGTCGGCGCCTGCGCTGAGCCCGTGGCGCCTGCGGCGCCTGTGGCTCCTGCGCTGGCGCCTCCTGGTGTGCCCGCGCTGGTGCCTGCCTGCCTGGCGCCGCCTGGCGGCGGCGCGGGCTGCCCGCTGGCGGCCTGGTCCGCAGCCTGCTTGCGCTTCTTGGTGAGCCTCTCGGTGACCTGCATGTGCAACTTGCGCGCCTGGTCCAGGCGCTCCTTGATCACGCTTCCGCTCTCAGCGAATCTGGTTTTGTACTGTCTGAGCTCTTCGGCAATCTTGAGCAAGCCGTCCTTCTCGGACTGCTCGATGCCCTCGAGCTGACCCACGCTGGCGAACAGGCTCTCGTCCCAAGTCAGGTCGAATACTGCCCCTGGATCACCGCCGCCGCCGCTGGTGGGTGAAGATACCTGCCGCGAGAAGGCCGCTGCTGCCGCCTGGCGAGCCCGCTCTGCAACGGCCAAGGTGACCGCTGCCTGCTGCTCGCGCTCCTCGGCCCTGGCAAGGTTCTCGCGGCACTTCAATACCATGGATACGGACTGTTCGTGCTTGAGGCTGGCGTCCCGCCACGCGCCCGACGTCTTCTTCACCTGCTCCTCTGGGGTGAGAGACGGCTGCGTGTGCTCCAACAAGGCCTGGGCTGCAGATGCCGCGGCCTGTTGTGGAGCTGCGCCGGCTGCCAAGGACGTGATGAGGGTCCTGAGCAGCTCGCCTTCCTTGCTGTTGGTGTTGGTGGCCGCGGGGGCGGGGCCTTGGTCCAGCAGCTTGGAACCGTCCTGTCGCTTGTCCTTGCCCTTGTCTCCATGCTTGGTCTTGGCGTGCAGCTTGACGGATGTTCCGCACCTGCCACATCTGCCCTGTCTCCTGGAGACTGCGTCATCCCAGTCCCAAGTCTTGCACTTCTGGCAGGTACTCCAGTGACTGTTCTGAACGGGCATTACGTACTATGAAATTTGCACAGCTTACCCACTGCTCTGGCTGATCACAGGATCGCTGGAACACTGCCACTCAAGCACCGCGGCGAGGTGCTGTGCTGGACTCAGGGCTGCCAAAATGGAAGTTCTGAGCCCAAATTGCTTGAGCGAGGAGGGGGAGGAGGAGGAGGAGGAGGAGGAAAAGGAGGAGGAGGAGGAGGAGGAGGAGGGGGAGGAGGGGGAGGGGGAGGGAGGAGGAGGAGGAGGAGGAGGAGGAGGAGGGGAGGAGGAGGAGGAGGAGGGAGGACGAGGAGGAGGACGTTGAGGAGGAAGAGGAGGAGGACGAGCAGGAGGAGGAGGTGGAGGAGGAGGAGGAGGGGGAGGGGGAGGAACAGGACGAGGAGGAGGAGGAGGAGGAGGAGGACGAGGAGGAAGAAGAAGAGGAAGGGGTGGCGGGCACGGGGGGCGAGGAGAAGGAGGGAGGAGGAGGGAGGAGGAGGAGGAGGAGGAGGAGGAGGAAGAGGGGGAGGATGACGAGGAGAAGGAGAAGGAGAAGGAGAAGGAGGAGGAGGAAGAAAAGGAGAGGAGGGCGAGGGCGAGGGTGAGGAGCAGGACGAGGTGGAGGAGGAGGAGGAGGAGGAGGAAGAGGAAGAAGAAAAATAAGAAGAAGAAGAAGAAGAATAATAATAAGAAGAAGAAGAAGGGGAGGGGGGCGCGGATTTGTTGCTATGTTGCATGCACGTTGAAGCATCTGGCTGTCGCGCATAGGCGGCGCCGCCGCTAGCAGAGCGCTTCTAACGTTATCTGCGCGGGCACCAAGTGAACAAGTTCAGAACAATAAGTCCCACCGGCACCGCCCCGATCAAACTCCCACCTCCAAGGGACCCCTCGAATGGCAGCGGCGGGCAGGTATCTGACAGGACTGCAGTGCCAAGCCCTCGGCGGCCTTACAGGCCGCAAGAGCATGTCATGCAACAGGCGGGGAACATGCGCTTCACCGACTCGCAACCGTGGTCGGGAAGAGAGAGGATGCAAGGGCGGTCCTGGCCGGGCGGTGGCGAAGCACCCCTGCACGCTAAGCCACAACGCAGGCACTCAAGACAGTGTCTGACAGAGAGGGGAGCACACAAGCGGGCAAGGGTCCCTCCTAAGCTCCTCCCCTGCCGGGCGGCTGCACGTGTACCTGGCGGGCGGCATTGGGAAAAAGGGCACACAACGCGTTCTGACCTGAACGGCAAAATTTGGCGGCGTGTGACTCCTAAAGCCTCGTCGGCCGCTCGACTCTCCCTCGATGGTGCCAGGCGTGCGTGGCCCGGGTGGGCGGCGGCCGCGTGCGGGGGGCGCTCGCTGCTACTCTGCCGCGCCGCTCGTCTCTCCAATTTCTGATCCCATACTCCGATCTCCCGTCCTAGCAGTCACTCGCACGTCTCGCGAGCAAATCCAAGGCAGGTCCCACACGATCTCTGCATCCTCTCAGGCAGGGGGGGAGCAAAGTGTGGTAAACGAAAGTGCGGTGGGGAAAGGTCTCGCACAAATGGCCCAACGGCGAAGGGGGGCACGGGGAGGGGGGGACGAGGAGAAGAAGGAGGAGGCATACGCATAATACGACAAAGAAAAAACACACAATATTAATAATAATAATAATACTAATAATAATAAATAAGGATAAGAATAAACGTAGTAGTAATAATAATAATACCTAATAATAATAAAAATTATTAATAATAATAATAATAACAATAATGATAGTACTAATAATAAGATTAAGAATACGAATAATAACAATAATAATAATACTAATAATACTAATAATAATACTAATAATAATACTAATAATAATAATACTAATAATAATAAAAATAATGACAACAACAAACTTAATAACAAGAAAAAAGGAGGGCGAAGGCAAGGACGAGGAGGAGGGCCAGTGCAATGATGACACGGAGGAAGAGAAGACGAAAGGGAATGAAGAGGAAGAAGGGGGCACAAAGGATGAGGAAGAGGAAGAGGAAGAGGAAGAGGAAGAGGAGGAGGAGGAGGAGGAGGAGGAGGAGGGGGAGGAGGAGGAGGGAGGAGGAGGAGGCGGAGGAGGTTGGCACGGGGGAGAAAGAGGAGGAGGGAGGCGGAGGAGCAGGATGAGGAGGAGGAGGAGGAGGAGAAGGGGGAGGAGGAGAAGGGGAGGAGGAGGAGGAGGGGGGGGGGAAAGGAGGAGGCGGAGGAGGAGGGGGATGAGGGGAAAACGAATAACAATAACAATAATAACACACTTACGAATAAGAAAAATAATAAGAAAAATCATAATACGAATGATAATAATAATAATAAGAAGAAGAAGAAGAAGAATACTAAGAAGAAGAAGAAGAAGACGAAGACGAAGACGAAGACGAAGACGTAGACGAAGACGAAGGAGGAGGAGGAGGAGGAGGAGGAGGAGGAGGGAGGGGGGGGAAAAAGAGGAGGGGGACAATGAGGAGGAGGAGGAGGAGGAGGAGGAGGACGACGAAGAGGAGGAGGATGAGGAGGAGGAGGAGGAGGAGAAGGATCAAACCACGGCGAGGGGGCGCAGGGGCCTGATACCGAAACCTCCACACAAGCACACCAGATTGCAGGGGCCATTTGTTTCCTCTCTCCCTCTCTCTCTCACCCTCTCTGACCCCGGAGGTGCGGCATCCCAGGAACGTGCTTGCGGCCTGCGGGCCGCCAGATGTCTCGCCGGTTTGTGCTCGATGTTCAACCCAAGAGGCGCAAGACTGCAGGGTGCCAAAGCTGCCGCGAGCCGTTCGACGTTGGCGAGCTACGGTGCTGCCCACTGGCGAAGGCCCACCGTGGTGGCGGTGCGTTCCTTCACCTTGATTGCGTACATGGCGGTATCCATGCAGGCGACATCGTGACGAAGTACGCCGACGGTGTCACGGAATCGCAGCTCCAGGACGTCGTCAGCCGTGGCGCCACCGTTTCCCTCGACGCCGAAGTGCAGACGGCCGCCCCGCAGACCGATCCCCCCGAACTGTTAGATCGTGGGCCCTTCGAAGAGAACATCCTGCGCAACTTAGATTGGTGGGACCCTGTGGATGTCGAGCAGGCCCTGCTGTGCACAGTGCGGACTTGGGAGGGCGCCCATCCTTCCCTCGACTATTCACTGGAGGAGGCCAAGGGTGCTGTCCTCAAATGTGCCGCTGAAGCTGGGCCGGACCGAGAGCGGGGCTGGCGCATTCTGATGCTCTTCGACCGTCTCCTGCACGCCCGCATGCCGGCCAAATTGCGACCCCAAGATGTCACCGCGACGCAGTGGCGCAAACGAATAGTCGTGGACCGTTTACGGCTCTTCTGGCAGGGCGACTGGAAGGCTCTATGGGACGAGGTGCACATCACCTGCAGGGCGATCTTCAGCGATGAGCCCCCCGAGGACGACGACTTGAAGCGCCTGGTCGCCCGCATCGAGGCACTCGGCGCGGCCAACGAGTGGAGCAAGGCGTGCAAGGCTGCCGTTGGCTCCGCCCTCCTCGTCACAGACCCGAACGAGCTGGACAACGTGAAGGGGAAGTTCCATCCCGAGCAGGTGCGCCGGCCCGAGCCCAAAGTCGAAAACGTCGATGAGCACAAGGACTTCTGGGAGGCGGTTGGCCGCCAGGTGCAACGGGACTGCAAACGGTTGCCCCGCAAGGCAGGTCCTTCCCTTGACGGCAGCCGCTTCGAGCATTGCGCATCCTCTTCGGCGGACTCCGACTACGCGAAGCACCTCGCCATCGCGGCCGTCCAGTTCGCCAGCGGCCAGGCGCCGGATTTTGTGCACCGGGCGCTTGCTCATCCTCCGCAAGAGCGACGGCGGCATCCGCCCCTTGGTCATCACCGCCGCGCTCCGGCGCATTGCACTCCGAGCGGTGATCAAGGTGTTGACCCCCCGTGCCACAGCGCATGTGGGTGAGGAGCAATACGCCATTGGCAGGTCGGGCCCCGTCGAGCCGATCACACACGGCATCCAAGCAGACGTGCTCCAGGACAGCGAACGAGTTGCAGCTTCCTTTGACATCAAAAATGCTTTCGGCTCCATGAGCCGTGGTGTCATGGCCGACGATGTCGTCACTGCGTTCCCGGAGCTGGCGAACCTCGTGTCCGCCTTGTACAGCACGGACACGCCCTTGATTTGATGTGGGAGGACGGCGACGGGGAGGTTCAGACCATCACCGAGCAGACCGGCATGGACCAGGGGTGTCCTTTCTCGCTGCTCGCTTTCGTGGTCGGCCTCAAGCGGGTCCTCGACCGAGCACGCGCCCTCCTACGTGACGCTGGCCTCGACGACGGTGTCCGCTTCCGGGCTTACGTCGACAACATATATGTCACATGCGCCGCTTCGCGCCTCCCCGCGGTCCTCGCAGCCTTTCGCCAGGCCTTGGCCGAGTCCGGCATGACGCTCAACGAGTCCAAGCTGAAGCTGTGGGGCGTCGAGCGCAACATTCTGCCGATGGACCTCCAGCAGTACCACGTGGAGACGCTCCAGGTCTTGGGCAACGCTGTCGAGCGATCCAGCGGGCAGATGCACACGTTGTGGCTTGGGGACTCTGGCGGGTCCTTCACTTCGGTCACGGCCGCCCTCAGAGCCAACCTCGACAGGCTGTGGACATTGCACGCGGAAGGCGGGCTCCCCAAGCAGGTAACGCAGGCACTGGCGCGCTTGGCCGCGCAGTCAAAGCCACAGCACGTCCTGCGCGGCGCCGCCATCTCTGCCGAGCAAGCCAGGGCCTACGACGCCGTGGTCGAACACTTCTGGGCTCGACTGCTCGGCGAAACAGGCAGTTTCGACGCCCACCCCAGGGTGCAGCTACACCTGCCATTGCGTCACGGCGGCCTCAACGTCGGCGGGGTGGAGGTGCGTGCCGATGCTGCCTTCCTTGCCGGCACTCTCGGGGCCTTGAGCGAGGTGATGGGCACGGTTGGGGTCAACACCGTCGCGGAGCTCCGGCACGTACTCCCGCAGCACGTGGAGGGCATGAACAGCGCGGTGGCCAGCCTGGAGCAGAAGGGGGCGCGGGAGCAGACACGCCTGTGGCAGAGCGACCAGCCCCAACCCGTCAAGGGTACGCAGCGAGTCTGGACCCGAGCAGTCCAGCGCAACCTGCACGATCAGCTCCTGGGGTCGGCCACGCAGCGCCATGCAGCGGCTATCTGATCCGCCTCCACTCCGGAGGCCAGCCGCTTCTTGGACCCGCCGGGGGCCGCCTCCGACAAGATGACGGACGCGACCTTTCAGGCAGCTGCTCGCCGCCGCCTGGGCCTGCGACCTGTGCCGCGTGGACCACACGACGCTACCCACTGCCAGAACCGGCGGCCGGATGGGACTAAGTGCGGCGTGGAGTTGGACGACGAGGGCCACCACGCCAGAATCTGTGAGATCGGTGGTGCGCTCGTGCGCCGGCACGATGGCAGCCGTGACGTCGTTGCCGCCCGGCTTGTCGCTGACTTGCACGCCCCAGTTCGCACACAGCAGGTGTCCCCACCTTGACAAGCTCAAGCCGGACGGCACGATGTCCGAGGCACGCTTAGACATCGTTGTCGAGCTGGAGGGCACCACGTTCTTCCTCGACGTCGCCATCGTCGACGTGTTGAGCACGGATTCGGCACTGGAACGGCAGCGTGCGTCTCGAGACGGCGCCGCTGCATGCCGCATGGAGGAATAGAAGCGGACGGAGTATCCCGGTGCCAACGTCGTGCCCCTCGTGATTGAGAGCTACGGGCGAATCAACGCGAGCGGCATGGCATGGTTGCGCCGGGCGACCGGGACAAGCCGAAGCTCTTCCAGAGCTTGCTCCGCGCCTTGAGCGTCCATGTGCAAAGCCACACGGGCGCCATGATCATAGCGGCCAGCACTGGCTAGCACGGCGCGCCCCGGCAGCGGGCCGACCAGGCGTAGGCCGACGCGCCACCCTGGTCCACCTCCCGCGGGGCCCCTGCACCAGCAGGAACCCCAAGACAGGGAGTCGGGCTGAGCTGCCCGCGCACGGCTTCCCTCCCCCTGGGGGGCGCACGCCCTGGGGTGGTAGGGAACTGCCCCTTTCCCCTCTCCCCTCCCCCTCCCTTTTCCGTGTCCCTCCTTTCCTCTCCTCCTGCCCTCGCCCCCCTCTCTCTCCCCCCTCCCCGTCCCCCGTCGCTGTCGTCGTCGTCGCCGTCGTCGTTCCGCCTCGTCGC